CATTCCCGTCGCAAGCATAGTAGTATGTAAATCAAATTCGCTTGCTGCCTATGGGTTGTTGTGCTTTGGTAATCAATGGATTACCATGACGTTTATTTGTAATTTCAAGTAAACTATCTTCTCCTGCTTAATGAACACTGTGCCCGAGGCACGTTCAAGAAAAAAAGCTCGAAGACTCACATGGCCATGCAACAATCGAACCCAACGTCTACTCCGATTAAGGTGGGGCCAGCAGGTTTCCATTAACTTGGTTGAGGCATCGGACAAGTACAAGAAGGCACCAGATCCAAGCGAGTCTGTGCACCACATCTGCTACATCTCACACTGCCGGAGCCTCTACTTGTCACTACCGTTCTATTGTCCATGGAGTCCGTTGCTTCCCCATCGCTGAGGAGCATATTGCCGAGTTCGTGAGACGGTCTCCAACAAGAGATCTATGGACACTCAAACCCAAAATGGATAATAGAGACCTAAAATTAGCTTCTAACAGACTACCTTCACGGGAGATTCATTTTGGGTTGCATAGACACACCCTAAATATGTGCATCATCTCTTCTATAAACCCATTTGCAGAAAAGATTCTCTTTTGGGTCCTATTGTTGGAAAAGATGTTGAATAGGTATTGAACTATTTGACTATAATGATACCTAAAGGTTAAATAGGTCTTGTATTTTGAGTGTTGTTGTTGAAGACAGTACAAGGCCTGGTAGATTTGGTATGGACAAGTATGTACATGGTTATGTACCTTTGCATCAGCAACAAGCAGCGACAAGCAGGCAATGTAGGAATCCGTACACCATGCAAGCTAATCTACGGGCATACTCGTGCACGTGTGTGTACGCCGAATTATTTCTTTGGCTGTACTCGGTGCTTTTGCGACATCCGACTACATACAAGCACGAACCGATTGAGCCTCCATCGAGTCGCAAGCAACGAGCTGTTCGTGTCTTATCCATCTATTCGAATATCATGACCCGCCGGCTCCTCTGCTACATTCAACGTCAATCTAAGCTAGGTCACGTTTTAATATTTTTTAAATATTCTTTAATCTTCATATGTCTCTGATGTTTCTCCATACTGTTTTTTTCACGATTATTCTCTATGTATACCATGTTAAAGATGACATACGACTATGTCTGAGGCAAATCCCTAAACAGTCATGTTTACGTTCGGAGGTCTCCAGAGACAGCACTGTCTCTGGCTCCTCCCTACACGTGCACAAGCATCTGCCCTCTGCGTTACGGGTGGTCGGCAGCAGCTCCCTAGCGATGCTTTGTTCTTCCTACACACACAGGCTCCACGCTCCGCGTTATAGTTAACAGGCTAGTTAGGGCTAGAGGCTCAACAACAAACTAACTAGTCAAATGGTTTATATTAAATATAGACACTACTTCAAAATAACACTTAGTGTTTACAACTACGGGAAGGAAAATATTCATATTTAAAATATGAACAAACTCCAAAATAAATATAATGTTTATTTACTCCGCTCTATTGCTTTCATCGTCGAGTTCATATACTTTATTTTCACATCATGTACTACCCATTCTCCATATTTTTATTACAGAGGCTAGGTTCGGTTGCCGAGCTTATTTTTTACGCTCGGGGACTGAATTAGTTGAGAAGGACAAAAGAATCATCATCGGTCGGACCGCCGTGTAGATGGACTTCACCGCCAACTAACTGGTCGGATTGTTCGGCGCTCACTCCTGCTAGGCATTCACTTCGCCACCGACCAGTTCCTTAGGCTTCATCGTCAGCTTCATTGGGGACCTCGCCAGCTAAGCTGGTGACTTATCGGCGTTCGGATTCTTCGTGCAAGCGTCGCCAGCTAAGCTGAGAACTCATCGGTATTCGGATTCTTTGTACAAGAGTCGCCAGCTAAGCTAGGGGCTCCTTTGGTGTTCGGAATTTGCTACGTCTCTTCGATGTGTTATCAAGTTGCTCCATATTGTTCGGATCAGGGTGCTGATCTTGGGCAGCATGTCCGGAGTCTTGATAGGTACATCGCAGATGACGTTGGCAAGTTTTCGTCAAACTTCTTTGATCCTGCTACAAGATTTTTCTCAATCTTCTAGCAGTCTCGGGGACTACGTGTGTACACATCATCTGGGGATGACTGTACTATTTTTCTCAGCTAAGCTGGTGACTGGTTTGGCACCTGAAGACTACTGTTTTGGACCCTAGCAGCACGTGAATACTTCACATACTGTTAGGCTCGGTGATTAAGTGGGCACACTTCACCTTGCGGTGAATGTGCTTATTTTTAGGACCTAGGTCTCTTCAAAACGACTAAGTCCTAGATGATAATCATCATTGCTCTCTGTTTGGCTCTAAGAGTCAATTCTGCATACGGCATGGGTGCTAAGCATCTATCTTCGCCCTTGAGGGACTAAGTTACTCTGCGCTGACTAAGTCAGGGACACTAAGCGTCCCACTTCGTCGCCCGGAACCAAAGTGGACACACTTCTCCTAAGGTGAAGGTTTCAAAATTTTAAACTTGAGCTCCTTACATCCTTCTAGCAAACCTCGGCTTTGAGTGAGTCCGGGTATGGCTCCCAGTTAAATTGGTCGGATGCTCGATTCAACAGCTCGGCTCCCAATTCAACTGGTCGGATGCTCGATTCAACAGCTCGGCTACCAGTTAAACTGGTTAGACGCTCGATTCAACGGTTCGGCTCCCAGTTAAACTGGTCGGACGCCTGCTCTTGTTGACCGGCTACATGTTTAACTACTCGGACAAGCTAAAGACGGTGTTGCTCAGTGGATATAAGGCGCTCGGGGACTAACTGTGGGGGTATAACCCCCGATACCCATAAGGCTGTACATGGGCCGAGCCGCTAGGGGAGGCCCAGCGCAGACTACTACGCCGGGGAGCACGGCATAGGTCGGCGTGCCTTGCAAGACTGCGTGAAGATCCTTGACGATCAAGGATGATCTGTTCGGATATGCTAGATTCCGTAATCTCTGTAATTCCTATCTTGTAAACCGACCAGGATAGAAACAACCGATCCTGTAACCCTACCCCCGAGCTATATAAGGCGGGTAGGGACCCCCTCGTTTTCATCCAATCTCTCATAATACAATCCACAAAGACATAGGATGTAGGGTATTACGTCAAGCAGACGGCCTGAACCTGCCTAATCGTTGTCTTTTTTGCGTTCTGTGTCACCCTCCGATTCTCTCACGCGGACCTCCACCGATTCATCTACTACCATGGACATAACCCTCGGTAGATTGTCGACCAGATTTCGTTGACACTCCCTAGGCAAGCACCTGCTCGACGGCCTGGGCCAACCCTTGGCGAGCACCTACTTGGTGGCTAAGCGGCAGCGGAGGCGGCCGCGGCGGGCGGATGCCATGGTACAGGCGAGCGGCGCGGTGGAGCGCAGAGTGGAGAAGGCGGGCATCACGGTGGAGTCGAGCACGGAGGATAAGGCTGCGACGGTGGAGGCCAAGTGCGTAGAGAGAATTTTTTTAAGGGATGCGAACGGGAGCGAGCAGACGGATAAGGTAGCCAGTGGGAAGCCACGTCCGCCCGTCCCCGGACACCCGCACGAGAGTATTTCCATTTTGCCGCGTTTGTTGACCATCGCGAATCAAGTAGAAGAGATGTTAATTATATTAAAAAGAAAAACTCTAAATTAGAAAATACAACAAAACAACCACCCGATAAACTCAACTAGAACAAAAGAACCAAGCAACAACATAAAACTTTGGCCGGGTTGGAACGACGGTGGCTTTAGAACTTTGAATTATCCTTGTTAGAAGAGAACTGTTATATTAAATGGGCACTGTAGCATTGTTATGCCAATATTTCTTCTGATCTATACAATTCTCATCACTAAATAGAATGTTCGGCGATCGTTTATTCATTTGATGGATGGGAGACGTGGTTGCACCGCAGGCTTACAATTACGTGTCAGCAGCAAGCATTCTTTATTATATCTATATATGATTGCTTTGAGTACGAAGGACGTGGCACAAGTACAAGAATTGTTTTTCACTCGAGTACTTAAGACCATGGTAGAATGTTTTTTCAATACCCCAATTCGCTAAACTACCTGTACTTTATTATATCTATAAATGATGCTGAGTATCATGACCTGTTCGTACTTTTCTATGAATAAATAATATTTTTTAAAAAAATCAGCATAAGCTAAATTTTAGTGAAACAAACAGAGAGTTGTCCCTATTTACTTTAACTTATCGGCTAATTAGCTATAGTAGAATGTTTTTTCTCGTAATAAAATAACATTAGCCGGTTTATCAGTAGTAAAACCATCAGTCGAACAATTGATGTCTACAGCGAGTCTTGTACTGTAGCCCTGTTTTAAAGTTGAGTAAGAACATGTTCAAGCGACTCTCCATATCCTTATGGTACAATAGAGATTTTCGTGAAAAACTATACTCCAACAGCTTCTCTAAATGGTCATCCAAATATAATCATTTTCTATTTCAGATTTTTCACTAGCTAAAAATAAAAGCGAGAATAACTGTCTACGAGATATTAAAAAACTGTTAGTGAAACAAAAGATATAAAAAACGATTTATGTTAATTGCTCTCCAAACCACAATCTACTCGACCGGGAAGAGGATTTAGCTTGATCGTTTGACTATGACTTATCATAAATAATCGTAAATTTTTAACCGAAACAGTATTTTTCTCTCCGAAGAATCAAATCAGTATTTTCTCACGAACCGATCACAAACAACCAGCCAACCGAACATTGATGTTGGTTCGTTTATTAAAGTCCGTGGACATTGACGTGGCATGGCAGCTCGGTTGAAGCGAACTAGCGAAGAAACGCACCGCCGCATTGACGAGCGCGTCGCCTCCTCGCAGGTGAGGGGGCCGCGCCCGGCGCCCGCGCAGTAGTTCGGCGGGGAAAATGAAGTAGATCTGCCCTGGCCGCAGCTCCTCGCCGGCGTCACCAGCGTGGCGAAGTCCTGGAGCCCATACTTCCTTCGATTCGAAACAATCAAGAACCGATCCGGTGATGCAGCCCGACCCGAACAAGTCCCTAGCCGGGGGCATTGCTACCGCGGCGGCAGTGTCGTCGTCGCTGATCTTCCTAGGCACGGGCTACTCCACCGCGCTCCCCGACACACGGTGCCTCGTTAGGCCATCCACCCCATCCTGCGCAGTCTGCTCTACGGCTCTCTCCCTCCCGCCGGACCGGAACCCCAACTACAGGTGAGTCAGCCACCCCCTTCAATCTCAATCGACAATCCGCGTGAATTAATCCATTGTGCAAAAGTTTATTAGCTATTAATCACGTTTAGCACTAGCCGTGAATTAATCCATTTGTGAAACAGATGGTGGTATTTCAAAAAAAAAGTGAGTGAGGCGGTCCTCCCTGCAGGTGCTTATTTCAGAAAAAAGTTTATTAGCTATTAATCACGACATGCCTATTTTTTGTCAGGTTGAACTCCTCCCTGTTGATAGATTATTGCCTTGACGATGGAACCCACAAATACATTCTGATCGATGTTGGCAAGACCTTCAGAGAACAAGTGCTCCGATGGTTTGTCCACCACAATGTTCATTCCATTGATTCGGTGAGATGCGTTTTTTTTCCTTTTCGAAAATAGCTGATTCTCTTTGTTAGCAATAGTTCCTGATGATCTGCAGATGAGACAACTAAGAGGATTCTGTGCGATGCAGATCATTCTGACTCATGAGCACGCGGATGCTGTCTTAGGCCTTGATGAAGTTTGGGTTGTACAGCCAGGCAGTGATAGAAATGATGCTGAGCAGATACCTATATTTCTCACACAATTCACAAAGGACAGGTTCATCCTATGTTCCTAGTGAATCGAGTTATCTACACAACTCATCATGTAATGCGAGCTGCCAATTTTGCAGTGTTGCAGCAAGGTTCCCGTACTTGATGGAGCGAAAGCCGGAGGATGGAGATGAAGATGCTCGAGCCGTGCAACTCGACTGGAAGATAATTGAGGGTGCTGTCGACAACCCATTTGTATCATCAGGGCTACAATTTGTGCCATTGCCAGTAAGAACTGGTTCTGTGAAATGTTGCTCTGATCTTGTTATGTTTTGCCTCCTGAATTAGTTGGTTGTTGTTGTTCAGGTTATGCATGGAGAAGGGTATATTTGTTTAGGCTTCTTATTTGGAAGGAGGACCAGAGTTGCGTATTTATCCGATCTCTCGAGATTTCTACCTAGCACTGAGCATGGTATGGTTTTCGGGTCCTCTTTTGTTTGAATAATTAGAGTGTCATGATTTTTCTGTGTGTTTGGAAACAGCATGATAGTTTATGTAAGTTAGCATTGAAGAGCTATTTCTCAAAAGGACTATATTAATCCACCAAACTCAGAAATGTGGAAGATCAGGATAATTCACTGTTGTTGCTAAAACTGTATTTCAATTGTTATTGTTATATGTGGGGTATTGAAAACTATGTAAATATACTGTACAGGAACCCCAGTGGTCATCTGATCAAGTTCAATGTAACATGTTTTAGTATATTTCACGTTACCAGAGTCTTAACAACATGCCAGTTTAGCATCATGGGTGCAAATCATGAGCCCACACAGCAAAATTTCTAGCATTTCCTTTTGCAGGTGTATTCTCTTGATATCTGCATATTTTATTGCTCCATGGCACTGGAATATGATTCTGATGTAGTCTTTGCCTGCATCTATTTCAAAGTCTGGTGCTGGACAACTTGATCTTCTTATACTTGAAGCAAACATTTTGCACGGAGTGGTAAGCCTTTGCCACTGCCACATACCTGCCATCTGGAAAAACTAAAAAGAACCACAGTTTCTGTATCTTTCATACTATTGAACTCCACGTGCTAAATCATTCACTTCAATATGAAAAATCCCATATGTTGATGCTCTGATACAGACTTTATCTATCAGACTACTATACAATTAAACTCCACTTGCTAAATCTTCCGTTCCATTCTGAAAAAAACATATGTTGATAGTCTGATACAGACTTCATGTTCTGAACAGGGAGGAGGTCATCGCAAAAACCATTTTACTCTACATGAGGTTATTTTATTAGGACTTCTAAATACTTGTCTTGAAGTTTTTTCTGTAATCAGATTTGCTTAAGAAACTATCTAGTGTTTCTTTGGGAAAATACAATTTGTTCCTCAATATCATGCTACTATAATCCAATTCTTGCAGAGTCTCGATGCTATCAAGAGAATATGTCCTAAAAGGGCTGTATTGATTGGAATGAACCACGAGTTTGAACATCACAGAGAAAATTGGATGGTGGCAGAATGGTCTCACAGGTACGCGTGATTGCTGAAACAATTACTCCCTCCGACTTAAAATAAATGATGTTTAGGACATGGGTATGGTTTTCAAGGTTAAACATTGACCATCAGTTTCTATGAGAATAAGACATTTCAAGGTAATTAAATATTTTGAAATCCCTCGCATGGTGAATCTAATAACATCTTATATGCATTGTCAATATGTGGAATTTCCTTATACTGGTGGTGAAATTTACAAAAGTTTAACCGGAAATAATTGTTATACTGGTGGTCAAATTATCAATAGTTTGATTGGAAGGGAGAGTGTATCCTTATTTATTTTTTCTGTAACGGCCTTGTTTGATGTGTAAGCCTGTATGTATGATTGCAGAGAAGGAATACCCGTACAGCTAGCTCATGACGGCCTGCGCATCTTCATTGACTTGTAATGCAATTTGTTCCGTATGCCCGTTGCTCATTTCAAACGGGAACAAAGTTCAGACCGGATTGTGCAACAGTTCGGTGATTACTTTATTTGTCCATAATTTTTCAATGTTAAGGTATTTTTTATTATTATTACTCAAATACTCAGGAAAAAAAGTGTTACATTCACCATGCTGCTAAATGTTTAGTCATCTTCGCTAGTTGTATAAAGCTCCAATGTTTAAATAAACACTAAACAGGCTGTTAAATGCCAGTGAGTTGACTGTTTAGGAGCATGCTATTACGCCCAGTAGCAAGGTGGCTAATTCCATGTAATGGAGAATTTTGTTAATGTTTGAATATAATATATATTGTGAACTTAATTAAATAAACCCGAAAAAGTGAATGGATCGTATTGGCAGCCAAGGGAAAAAAACGAAGTGGAACTGGCTGAAGTTACAAGCTAGGCCCACTATGCGGTTCATATAGAAACCTACAACAAACCAAGCCCACTCTGCCTGCAAAAGGCCCGCTAAGCTGAAGGCCCATTCCATATCTCTGTATATACAAGTCTACAATTACACGCACATTTCTCCATCTGCTCCTCGCCTCGTCACTTCTCCGAACCCTAACCCTTCTCTCCCCCTCTCTGCCGACCGCCGGCCCCGCCGCCGCAGTGAGCACGTGGTCGCAGCCATGGTAACGTCACACCTCCTCTCGCTCCTTCGTTGTCTCACCGTTGGTTCGTCACCTGTGCTGACCTCGTTCTGGTATTGCTTATGCAGTCCGCCAGTCCGGGAGGAAGAAAACGCATGAGCCCATGGAGGTGACCATGACCCTCGGCCCGGCCGTCCGCGAGGACGAGTAACGTCTTCGGCGTCGCGCACATCCTCGCCTCTTCAACGACACCTTCTTCATCGTGAGTATCTCAAGAACTCGACATCCTATTTGCGCTACATCTATTTGATGTTCTAGGCTGGCGCGGTGCTTGGTGCTATTTGCGCTACATCTGCTTGTTGTTCTAGGCTGGCGCGGTGCTTGGTGCTGAGAGTCAGATATTTATTGTGTATATGGTGTTTGTGTGTACTGTGCGGGAAGTCTGTGGACATGATCCTTGTATATGGTTTTTGTGTTGTACTGTGCGGCAAGTCTGTGGACATGGTTCATTGTCATTTAGAATAGAGTTGTTGTTCCGACTTTAGAACACTAGGGTGTTCTTTTAACTACTTTGGTCTATCTATTGAAACGTTCTTTTAAAGTTGTGGAGCTATAGGTTAGGTGCTACTGAAATTTTTGGCACCTAGAAACCCATTTAGTTGAGGTTTTGGTTTCAAGTTTAGGTACAAGTGTGCCAGTGACTTGGTTTGGCTTATCCAAAGTGCATTGTTCTAGATCCTGTTTACTAAGCATGGTCTTTGCTAGTATATATGTGCCATGATACATTGGTTTCTTTGTTGCAAATGTCTGTTACTTTGTTGCATTCAGGTACGTGTTGTATAATTTCAGGATCCTGATGAGCTTATTTTGGTGATAGTACATATAGTATTAAAGCTTGATGTTTGGTCAGTGAACTTAAGAGTTTGCTTTGTATGCATGGTCCTTAAGATCGCCTCCCTTTTGTTATGTGGGAGCGTGTCGAGTCATAGCCATGCAAAATTCACAATGAGGTTCTAGAGAGTTTTTCTCTGGAACTTCTCTTCCCGTTTCAGATCCAGGTGTCTTCATCCGGGCATTGAGTTTCCTGTAGTGTGTGACCATTATTAAGTAGCTGCTTTTTTCAATGCTTCTGTGGGCTCATCACTCATGCAACTCTTTGCCAAATCAAATGGAGATGTCTACTTTGGAAGTGAACATTTTTTGATAAAGAATTCATGAATTTTGTCACCCATATAACCACATTTCTGAATTTTCATTAGTTAAGTAAAACTTTTCAACTAAACCACACTGTTTTACCCTCACTTTTGATTCCACTAGTTGTCAATTTTCTTTTCAAGTTTGACCTTTAAGATGGCATGCTTTAAGTTTGTGGGAGTATGCCAAGCCATGCTAAATTCACATGATGAACCAGAGTTTTCCTCTGTATTTTTTTTCTACACATTTCCAGGTGTCTCCATCTTGGCATTTCATTCCTTGTAGAAAGAGTCAGCATGCACTCTTCTATGTCACTTCAACTGAGCCCTTTCCCACCTTGTGACCCTTTGCAATGTTAAATTATTGGTAATTAAAGTGGATATTGTAGAAGTTAAGTCCTGCTCCCAGTTATCACTTAGTTATCTGTGCTTAATTATGTTTCTGCTATTAAGGCCTTTACAAGTGATTTCAGCTTTGCTCTAATGAGCCATCAATGTAATCAATGTGCTACTTATCTCCTATATATGAAAGAGCGTTAACTTTGGGTGTGTTATCCTCGATTAAAAACACTCTGTACCTCCAACAATTGGTACCAGAGCCTAGGTTAGAACCTCTCTCTCATCTTCTACTGTGCCCCCTTCCCCGCTTTCTCATCCATGGCCTCGACATCTTCCCGAAGCTGGAAAGTCGCCAAGGCGTCGGCGATGGAGGACTCCTCTGGCGGGCCACTGCCTTAAAAAGCTGCAGAGGAGGCAACAAGAGGCCGGTAGCGGCGCTGGCAGCAAGCGGCGGCGTAAGGCGCAGAGGAGGCGGCAAGGACAGCAAGGGTCTTGAGGAGAGATTGCGAGGAGGAGATTGAGGATTCAAGAGCCCGCCACGGAGGTCTCCATCTCCGCCATCCGCGCATAGCGTGGCCTGCTGATGGCGGCGTCGAGTCGCCGTGTGTACGACAGTGGTCGTATATGAGGACTTCGCAAATTTCTTTGAAAATTTGTTATGGAGCCAAGAGATGAAATGCCGAATGCAGCCCGCGATCTGTGGGACGCAGTTGAAGGAGAGCGGGTCTCGTTCGCGACGGCCGGCGGCGGGCTATGGAGGCGATTGTCGCAGCCTGTTCCCAAGGAGATGGGGATTCCGCTCATCGACAAGCGGACGGCGAAGGCGAAGGCGTGGGGCGCCATAGTTCCACGCAAGACATCGGCGTGGATGGAGTCAGAACAACGCTGAACGCATCCGCCGCGATCGGGAGAACATCGATGTCAAGTCGAGAGAGTGTCGAAGATTTTGCCTTCCGCCTCTCAACTCTGATCGGCTGCCTTGTCCTTCATGGTGATCGTGACATCGATGCGATGGAGCGTGTGGTGGAGAAGTATCTGCGTCACATCTGCCGAAATATCGCAGATTGTGGTTGCTATTGAGCGGTTTACGGACTTTGACATGCTCACGCTTGAGGAAGCCATCTTGTTGATGACCGTGAAAGAGCAAGCGCCATCTGAGCCAATCACCGTCGGCGCAAGCTCATGTATATCTTGAGGAGCAATGGCGCGCATTTGATTCTGCCGCTCTAGTTCAAAGAATCGGCGGCGGCCACATGGTGGCTGCCGATCGCGGCGCTGTGAGGCGAGAAAGGAAGTGGCGGCGGCCGCGATGGTGGACGCTTGTGGCGATACTGCCACAATTGTGGCTGGAGAGGCCATCGGCAAGAGATCGCCTCATCCACGGCGAGAGCGAGAGATGGTGACCGTGATGGTGGCGGTGACCGGCGGCGGTGAAGGCGAGAGGCCGTCGTGGCGGCGGCCGCGGTGGCAATCAAGGCCAGCACGCTGGTGGCCGAGGGGGCGCAGGCGGCGGTGACGGCGGCCACAATGGCCGTGTGCGTGATGTAACGAGAATCAGAGATGATGGGGCTCTGTTTACGGCGCGCATGGGCTCGTTGATCTTGATAAGTGCGCACGCAAGATACACCTATGCCGCTCAAGAGGTGAATCTGGAAGAACCAAAAGCCCGCGCCTTCCTTGGTGCCAATGGCGGCGAAGAAAAAAGCGGATGTGTGGTACCTTGATTCGTGAGCTACACACCATATGACCGACGGCGTGAGCTCTTTCTCGACTTGAACACGGACGTCGAGGCACGGTCCGATTTGAGATCGTCCCAAGGTTGACATCAAAGGCATCGGTTCGATTGCTTTCGAAGGAAGAACTGGTGAGCATAGGGTGCTGCAGGTGTGTACTATATACCACCCCACGAAGAATTCCATTATCGATCTCCGGGTCACTTGATTTAGACTGCTCCAAGGTGGAGATATATCACGACGTATTACGTGTCTGGGAACACACCGGCGTTTGATTGCCAAGGTGAAGAGAGGGCTAACAGATTGTACACTCCAACTTCATGCGGCCTTCACCACTTTGTCTTGCGGATGCGAGAGGAGATGTAGCGTGGCGATGGCATGAGAGGATGGGGCATTTGAATTTTGATGCACTCCGCAGACTTGGGAAGGAGAAATGGCGCATGTGGTGTCCCGGTTATTGACCATGTGGAGCGGTGTGTGACACCGTGTCACCACCAAAATGAGAAGGCGCCCGTTCCAGTACAACACAATCTAAACAGCCCCTTGAGCTGGTGCACGGCGATCTTCGCGGACCAAAGTGACACCGCAACACCGGAGGGAATCGATATTTCCTGCCGCTCGTCGATGACGCTAAGCCGTTTCATGTGGGCGCTAAGGATCAAACGAGAAGCCATCAAGCGCATCAAACCGGCGCAGAGGCGGAGAGTGGTCGAAAAAATCGTGTGCCGCACCGATAATGGAGGAGAATTCACGATTCTTGATTTCGCTACCTCTGCGCGAGATCAAGGCATTAAGAGGCACTTCAATGCTCCCACTCACCTCAATAGAATGGGGTAGTTGAAGCACAATCGGTCGGTCGAGAGTGGCCATGGCAAGGGCTTCTTAAGCGAGGGGCCTGCCCACTTTATTTTGGGGGAGGTCATGATGATGGCGATCCACATTACCGACACGTTTGAAAGGATCACCCCATATGAGGCCCGGCATGGACGCGTTCACCAACTCGGGACACATGAAAGTGTTTGGGTGTGTGGCATACACAAGGAAGCTCGGTCACATAAACTTGATGACCCAGCGGCAGGGCAAGCGTGTTTATTGGTTATCTGA